CCCTCTCCGACTACCTTCAACAATACAAAGATGCTCTCATCTCAGCCCGGTCCACCTACTACTCACACCTCATACAGTCTGGCTCCTCTAAACCAAAGGCTCTCTTCTCCACAATAAACAAGCTTCTCAAACCCAAGGACAACACCTCCACATCCTTCACAGTGAACAAATGCAATTCTTTTCTTTCATTTTTCCAAACAAAAATTGACACCATTTACAGCAACCTGAACACCTCCCCCGCCTTTTCCATCTCTCCACCTGCCCTCCCCTCCTCCACCCCTCAGCCCCTTTCTCAGTTCCCCATTGGAGCTGCCTAACTCCACAACTGGAATGAGAAGCTCCACCTGCATCCTGGATCCCATACCATCTAATCTGGTCAAGGACTGTCTCCCAGCCATCTCACCACTCATCACAGTCATCATTAACTCCTCCCTCAGCTCCGGTTCAGTCCCTGACACACTTAAACTGGCTGCTGTCACCCCCATCCTCAAAAAACCTGGACTTGACCCTGACAACATGAGCAATTTCCTTCCCTTTCTGTCAAAAATACTGGAACGCATTGTCGCCACACAACTCAAAGCCCACCTCATCTCCAACGATCTGTTCGAGCCATTTCAATCCGGTTTCCGCTCACAGCACAGCACTGAAACAGCCCTCCTCAAAGTCACCAACGACCTCCTCCTCTCCTCAGATGCTGGTCACCTCAACATTCTCATCCTCCTCGACCTCACTGCAGCTTTTGTCACTATCAACCATAACATCCTTCTCTCCCGCCTCGAATCCTCCCTCAACATCACCGGAACTGCTCTCTCCTGGATTAAATCATATCTCACAAACAGACAACAGTTCATCAGTATCAACGACTGCACCTCCACTGCTCCTCTGTCTCAAGGCGTCCCCCAGGGTTTGGTGCTTGGTCCTCTTCTGTTCATCCTCTACTTGCTCCCTCTTGGTAACATCATCCGTCAACATGGTCTTCACTGTTACGCCGATGATGTCCAGCTCTACATCTCTACAAAGGCCATTACCACTGCAACTCACTCCATTCTCACCAGCTGCCTCACTGACATTAAATCATGGATGCAAACCAACTTCCTCAAACTGAACTGTGATAAATCTGACATGATTATCATCGGTCCCAAATCCCTCAACAAAACCAGTCACAACTTCTGCCTCACCATTGACAACTCCACTCTGTCTCCCTCCCCACACATCCGCAACTTTGGAGTCATGTTCGACAGCAACCTCTCCTTTGAACACCACGTCAAACAAATCACCAGAACTGCCTTTTTCCACTTAAAAAACATAGCCCGTCTCCGCCCATCACTCTCCTCATCTGCTGCTGAAACTCTGATCCACGCCTTCATCGCCTCCAGAATTGACTACTGCAACAGCATTCTTCACGGCACATCATCCAAAATCCTAAATAAACTCCAGTACATTCAGAACTCTGCTGCTCGCCTGCTCACCCACACCCGCTCCCGTGACCACATCACCCCTGTTCTCCAGAACCTCCACTGGCTCCCCGTCCCACAATGGACTGAATACAAAATCCTTCTCCTCACTCACAAAGCCCTCCATAATCAGGCCCCCTCCTACCTCACCGACCTGCTTCACCACCACACTCCATCCCGTCGGCTCCGCTCCTCTGATGCCAACCTACTGTCTCTTCCACTCAGGACCAAGCACCGGACATGGGGTGACAGAGCCTTCTCCATATCTGCCCCCTCCCTCTGGAACTCTCTCCCCAAACATATCCGAGACTGCACTGACCTTTCCACATTCAAATCTCAAATCAAAACCCACCTGTTCAAAATTGCTTTTAAAGTGTGACCGATATTGTGTATTTTATGTTTTTAGTGTATTGCTTTTATATATAATGATTTTAATGTAAAGTGTCTTTGAGTACTCTGAAAAGCGCTATATAAATAAAATGTATTATTATTTATTATTATTATTATACACACTGTTGTAAGCACACTGGGCAGGTGAAGGCGTCACTTAATATGAGATAAGAGACACCATAGCAAACTCGGTTAGATGAAAACTGCTTGGCTAAATTAGTCTGAAACACAGACGAGTTGCCATGTTTTCGAAGCATTTGAATGGCTGATGAACTCACTGACCTTGCAATTTACTGGATGCCTGGTATTCACTTTCTCTATCAATGTTACAAAAAGTTTTTACAAAAGTGTTGCTAATATGTTTGCGTATCTTCTAAAGCCACATCGGCAGTAAAATTGTTCCGAACATGTTAGAAGCGACTCGCTCAAATCCCCTTTTTCACCTGCCTTCATGGCCTTTTTATTCTTCCACATCTATAACACCCAGTCATTATTTCACACATTTCTGCCAACATGCTGCTTTTTCCCTCTCTCTTCCTTCTCCCTCCCTTGTATTCTCAACCTCCCTTTCTTTTCCTCCCCTCCAGCCTCGCTCTGTCTGGAAGCTGCCGAGGAGCTGAATGGTTAGAGCCAGGATGAAGTCATCATGTCTTTATATCATTATATTCTCCTTTTACCTTTTTTAGGCACAGAAAAACCCATAAGGGTGGGGCATAGATTGGCTGTCGATGGGAGCGACACACACACACACACACACACACCCTTTAACCCTGTTATGTGCCCGCTCTCGCTCTTCCAGCAGGCTCCGGCCTTTCCATCCCCAACTCCCTCACAGTTTCCATGACAAGGCCCCTTTAAATGGGCACAGTCACATTTCTTTTTGGGAAATGCTGCGTAAAGTGACGTTGACGTTTGGTGCATAATACTCTACTTTATGGCTTCTCAGGGAAATAATCATCACTTTTGTGGCGCAACATGTCTCGGTGAAAAGAACAAACTTATCCACTAGCTTTCATTTGGAAAATGGTGGTTTTGAGGTTTTTTCTCCTCAGTCTAACTAATAAAGGACGACCAAGCACTACCTGTGCTCCCAAAACCAGCCATTCAATCGAAGGTGAAGCCACCTAAACTAACTTTCTCCCACATTTTTTAATGATTTTCTAAATGTGTAATTTATTTATTTTTGCACATATTGAGGGTTGTTTTGCTTCTTACGATCACCAAATAGAGTGCAGCAGGGATGCCTTATTTCTGTAGGCCAACCAGGAAGTTGGCATCACACTTGTTCGCTCTACAAATGGGAGTGCAATGGGATTCTTCCATTGGATTTAGGATTATGGCAGAAAATAATCTCTGCAGCAAAAAATGAACACATGAACACCACTTTTATATTTCTGAAGCGTAAATGCAATCGTCGGAAGTAAAAAGCTAACGTTAGGCTATAAACAAACTACATGACAGTCACATGACATCACGTCACCACCACTAACCTAAAGGAGGACTGGTGTTCTAGCGATGACGTTTAGTCGTCTTATTTAGCCACTTGTTAGAAAACGCTATTTTTAAGACACAAAAAAGCTTCTAAATTCACCAGAGGGGTATTTACTGACAAATTAAACTAACAAAAAACATTGACTTCGGGAACAGGAAGGGCAAAAAAAAAGCTGCCTCATTTCCTTGTTTTAGGACTCATTCCTGCAGCGCTCTAGCTAGCTAACTAATTCCACCATCATAAAAATATAAAAAGCACCACATGAACTGCTCCGTTTGGTCCACATTACTTTGTTTTTGTATTACTGGTCGTGGTAGCCAATACCCCTTTCAATTAGCTTATGCTAATTGCTAGCATGCTGACTATTATGATTATGGTAGGTAGGAGTGCTGTAAAGGGTCTGTTATGATAATAAAATACAATATGAACTCTTTGTATCATTCTGTTAATTTGAGGTTCATAGAACGACCTGCCGTTTTATTTACAGTGCCGCTACAACGCTAACCAGCATAACATTTGGTTGGCGGTTTAGCAGTTGTTTGCAGTACACACCTAGAGCAGATAAACATCTTTAGCATGAAACTCCCCTTCGGCGGCCACTAATTCCTAACAAGCGTCTTTTTCAGCTACTTTTCCACTCAAGCTAATATATTCATGTGATTTTGTGTGTATTCCAACATGAGAATGTACACATTGACTCGCTGTTTGCCACAGACAAACTTTCCACACCATGGCACACTAACACACACACACACACACACACACTTTTTCTTCAGTGTGTGTGTGTGTGTGTGTGTGTATATGAGTGCAGGCTGAGTAAACCCCACAGTGGTTTCCAGGCCCAGGGTGAATAAAGGTGCCTTTTGTCAGGCCTGGGGTGGGTTGGGGCGGCTAGTGAGGAGGTGGCGGCGGGAGGGGGGTCCAGTCTGGAACAAGCATGAATGTTCCCCTCAGTTCCCTCAGACATCGCACCTCCCTGCCTACTTTCACAGCAGTGCTAGAAGAGAGCCAGAGGGTGGGGGGAGGAGGGGGAGGAGGTCGTCGTCAGGGTGGAGCAGTGGGGGGTGGGGCGGTGGGGGTGCCAGGGTGTATTCGAGGAGGTGAGCGGGAAGCCGGGGGATGGGCGGGGCTTGCGTCCAGCCAGTGAGCTCATTGGAACAGCATTGTTGTTTCATCCTCCTACCGAGCGTATCGTTTTTTTTGGGAGGCATACGAGCCGCCCGACGGCCAGCTCCCTCAGTTGCCCCTCACCGCTGCAGCAGAGAGGAGCCACCCCCCCACCCCTCAACACCGACACACACACAGCATGCCCGACTTACACACATGTAGAACGCCTGGTGTAATGTGTAAGCAAGGTCGAGCGTTAACTTGATTGTACAAGTTTGGGACAACCGTACTGAGTGAGTTTTGCTGCTTTTTTTTAAAAATTTCTTATTTTTTCTTACTCATCTGAACATGGGGTTGTTTTCTTTTACAAAACATTTTCCCTCCTCTTCATCCCTAATGCGGTGCGAAACGAGAGTGGACCGATTGAAGAATTTCACATTGTGACGTACGGCGAGGACAAACACAGAGAGACAGTAAGACGTGGAAGAGGACAGGACGGAGACAGAAAAAGGTGTTCCTAACCGGAGTTGTTTTGTCTCTCTCCGTTTCTCCCTCAGCCGTCCGGAGCTCCGGTGGAAAATGACCCTCTGGGCTCGCTGCCTCCTGGATGGGGTAAGTTTGCCGAAACACTCTCCTCGCACAGACAAAGTCCCTCTCAGTGAGGGGTGCTGAGCCGTTTACGAGACCTCTTCTCTCCGAATCTAGTTCGGTTCTGAAAGCCCCTCTGTACCTGCCGGAGGTGTCTGGTTGTCGGAGGCATATCTGATCAGTCGCGAATGGATTCTCAAGTCTGTGCTGAGTTTTTTTGGGGGCTTTTTTTGACAAATCTTGCCAGCAGTCAACAGCAAAGCAATCTCCATTTAGTCAGTTTAACTTATTCAAACTGCACTTTGCATTTCTGCAGACGAGGTTTGCAGTGTTTTCTCTTCTCCACAGAACTCTGAGCACATGTTTGATGATTTTAAACCTTGATGCACCAGAAACAATGCTGGTTCTGTGTATTTGACTATTTGCTTGAGCTTCTTCCTTGTTGTCCCCAGTGAGCAGATCAGCTGTTAACTGATTGATGACTCTGCTCCTGATTTTAAGTTTTCTCTTGCTCACGTTATAACAATTCATCCACAAATTACAGAGGCCATATTATTGACTGTGACTCGTTGTCGGACATATATTTTCTCTAATGATTAATGCATTGAATCACACGTTCATTCATACAGGAACGCCGCTGGCAGCTCCCTCCGACATTTTCACCCACTTCCATCACGTTCACTCCAAGAAGAAAAAAAAAAAAAAAAGCTTACTCTCTGCCCATGATGCCTTTTCAGCATGTTGCGGTACTACCTCTTAGACGAAAAACCTCAATTATATCGCTGGCTCTGATTCGCTTCTCTGGGGCGCTCGTTTTTTTGGCTGTTTATTTTTTTCATCTGCGGTCACTTCCCTCGCTTTTTTTTTTTTTTCTTTCTTTTTTCTAAAGGCTTAAGATTGAAAAAGAGAAAGATGGGAGAAAAAGTGGAAAGATGGAATAGAAGCGCAAGAGAGAGCAGCGAATGAAAGAAACTAGAAGAGAAGGGGGGCAGGGTGGTCAAATTGGATAGTACTGTTGCGGGAGTGGGGGGAGTCGAGGAGAAAAGCGAGTGAGAGTTGCAATGTGAGCACTACTGTTTCTGGGCCCTCCACACACTCCTGTTAATGAGAAAAAGATGTTGGGGGCGATGGAGGGAGGAGGATGGGCCACCAGCTCCTCTCTCATGAGACCAGTGGCCCGTTTCTCACACACACACACACTTTGATAAATTGTTATTCTGTTTTTAAGCTTCTTTGATCTAAACTATTTCTTTTTGAAAACCTCGGCTCCATGTTTAATATTTGCTCCCAACAACGTGGTCACTCTGACTTTCAGACACCCCCACTGCCACCTTAAATCCACACACACACACACATACACACTTGGGTTTACCCCGGTGAGGTATTTGAATCAAGCCTTGGTGAAATATCACACAGACTTGCAGACTTTCTATCGTGGTGGTGAGATTTTTTTTTTCTTCTTCTCCATCCCAACTGACAGAGTGAACCCAGTTGTTGATCTCCTGAGTATCTGTTGTGGAAATTTTCAGAATCCTCTCCGATTTAGTTTTTTTTATCACAGATCACAATTAAAAAATAAACACAATAACTTGATCGTGTAAATTATCGGGATTATTGTGAATATCGTCATATGAAACACTTGAAAAAGCTGTCTAGTTGGCATCATAGTAGAGAAGAAAAAAAACGTACCTTATATAAGATTGTTTTTCACTAAACAAAGATTTGTGTCCTCTGTGTGACGCAATACAAATATTAATTTCTTAACAAAATATAAGGTGAAGTGACTCCATTTTGTTTTAGTGCCATTTTGGTGACTATCGGGACATTATCGGGATTATTTCGGCCAGGATAAATCGTGATATCTTCATCTCATCACACTCCCACTTCGAACTCGCTTGTTCTTCAGCGTGCCGTTGTTTTTCTGTTTGTGTCCACAGAGAAGCGTCAGGACAATGGCAGAATCTACTTCGTCAACCACAACACGCGGACGACGCAGTGGGACGATCCTCGGACACAAGGGTGAGACTCTCTGAGTGCTAACGTGTGTGTGTGTGTGTGTGTGTGTGTGTGTGTGTGTGTGTGTGTGTG